AGTAAAAACTCCGGACCTGTGACATCATCAAGTACGCTGGTGTTCCAATTGTACAAATTGCGAGTCCGTACTCGCGTACTTGAGAATTGAGAAAGGGCCAAGGACTTCCAGCAAGGACAGCCGACTGAACATGAACAAGAAGATGACTTTAAACGGTGAAATGAGGTAAGGACTCTTCGTGTTTGCCTCCTGTGTTTTTTAGTGATGCTTTCGATGAACAGAGATATGACGTCTTTAGATGTCACGTTCTCTGATGTATTCACTGATTTGCTGGATGTTCTAAAGCTTGGAGGTCTTGAAGAGCCACAGTCACTTCCTGCAGATTCAGGAATTATTGCTAAACTTGAGTTAAGTTTGTCTGATTCCCCTTTGGAGGTTTTCTGGGAACATCCAATGGGGACCCGGAGCAACTGGAAAAATCCTGGGAAAGGTCGCTTAGAATACGCTACTTAACACGGTGACTTGATTTCAGATAAGAGTCTTTGTCTCGCCTGTAGAAACCACAAATCTCTCACCTAACTTCGGAGGGCAGATGAAGTAGCGGACGCCACCCACGCTGCCATCGTTCTTGCCCTCTGGCTCGTCTAGCTCCACGCCGACCCACTGCCCGCTGGCGAACTCTGTAGTACCACAAAACCTCAGAGTGCCAGTCTGAGAGACACAGAAACAAAAACAGGGGGCGGAGTCAGAGGTGACCTCTCACACTCTCGGAGCATGACTGCAAAAGAGATTCGTTCTGGTTAGCTTGCATGGGGGCAGATAGTCTGGGTGTCTGCTGCTGTGTTTGATGAAAGGGACGAATGTGACATCAATGCTACAGATGGAGGGACGGTGATGTCATAGGAAGACAACATGTTGAGTCACTTCAGTTAGTCTACAATCCAGCCACTCCAACCAACCTGTCTGCGTTTTGCAGCCGGGCTGTCGTCTCTGCTCTGCTCTCTGTGGGGCTACACAGTGAAAACACACTGTTCAGAGCTCAAGAAGCACAGTCTGAAGGACAAGCTGGCACCACACACACACACTGCTGTTTATATGTTGTTAAAAACAAACTGCTGATCAGATTAACCTCTTAACATCCACTGGCAACCCCCCCCAAAGGCTACAGGTTATTTTAAACGCCCAAATGTAAAAGCTGTTAATGAAAAACTGCAATTCAAACAAGACTTTATTTGAAATGTAACATCTTCTAGTTTCTGAAAATCTGCCGACGTAACTTTTGGCCAAAAATAACGACTTGATGCTCAATCGTCCAGGAAAGTAAATCTGCTGAATCTGTTCGTCGGGATTTAGACTTTTCAGTGGGAGAAACATTAACTCATCCAAATGTCCTGTTTATAAGGTGGAAACCTGCAGTCAGCTGAGACTGAAGACGTCACCTGATGATGATGAAACGTCCAGATGAACAGAATCCGGCAGAAACTGCTCGAAAATCCACCTACGGAGCAAATCCCAAACCACCGTTCCCTTCCGCATGTCAACCAAGATCAATCCAGGTGTGAAACCCAGGTGAACATCAAGAAAACACTGGACAAACCTGGAGAGGATTACTCCAAAAACCAGACAAAACTAGTTTCCAGGCAGGAGGGAAACTGGAATGAGAGTTTTGACACCAAAGTACAACTTCTGGCTTTCGATAAGAAGAAAGAAAATGCTGCATTCAACCATAAGAACGTCATTAAATCAGTGAGGCGTGGTGGTCATATCAAGGTTAAGATGGCTTATAACCATCAATGAAACTATTCTGAATTATAATTAGAAAATATCAGGAGACCTGAACCGTGCAGCAACACAAGAACCATCATCGCGTCCTACAAAGAAGAAAAAGTCCTGACGCCTTCTTCTTCTGGGCTGAGAATGCAGAACGAAACTGATGAGAAACACAGATAAACGTAATCGAATGAAGCTATTAGCAAAGATTGTAGCTCGGTTACCTTTCTCTCGCTCTTTCTCCTTCTTCTCTTTCTCCTTCTTGGTCTTTCCTGCGAGGCGGGAGGCCAGATCCATGCGGGGTGTTCTTGGGGTGGAGGTGACTGATGAAGGCGTCTGGTCCACAGATTTGGAAATCTTTGAAACTGGAGCGAAAATCCCTGCAGGGCAGAAGAAGATCAACACAGTGAGAAACAGCAACAACTCCTGTTTCCATGCTGAAAAGATGACGAGCTCCTCCAGAAGTCTCACTTCTCCACCAAAAACCTCCACGAGAACAGTGAGTTTGTTTATGATGAAATCAAAGAGCTCAGACCAGGGGCCTTTCTCAATATGCGTACTTGTGCGTACTAGCGTTCTCGTGTACTCGGTCTCCGACTGATGACGTATCACAAGTACTGTTCCAATTCGAAGTACGCATCAAGCCGAGAACGCGAAAAAGTCCCGGATGTGTTCTCGCTCCGCCCGTTTTATCGAGCATGCATC